CAAGGCATCTAATGATGATGATGCACTTTTCGTATTCGTCTTCATATTTTACCGAATAGTTGGTCTCGCTATTTGTATTCGGCTATTCGATAATCGCCCACGCAAGTCGGCAAGGCACCTGATGATGATGATGCACTTTTCGTATTCGTCTTCGTATTCTACCGAATAGTTGGTCCCGCTATTCGTATTCGGCCGAATAGTGAAAATCACTATTCGGTACAGCCCTAATTTGTACCATAATTTTTAAGGACATCCCATACAGGGTTGCCACATTGGCATTTTTGATGCCAGATTTCCCAAATTTGGTATATATCGAAATTGAACTGGCATAAGATATTTTGGCATATTTGGGTTTTTCCTGGCTTTTCTTTTCAAGATGTGCTCACACTTTCTTCATGGTTCCTACGTTAGAAACACGCAGATTTACTAAAAGCAATGTAGACCTACAGTTAACATCTTTATTTCAGTTAGACTTTGTTGTAATGTGCTGGTACAGACTAACGGAGATTCGCGCCATTTCTTATTGTATTTGTTGTCTTTCTAAACGGATCGTGACTTCAATAAACCAAGGCTTTGTGTAGTTTATGTTAATATGCCATAATAAATGCGAGATATAAAACCAAAAATTGAGGACAGAAAATATAGAGGATATAGACCTAGTTCTATCTGAGATAGATTTTATTACTTTTACCAGCCCGGCTCTCTAGCGTAGTTGGCTAAACCAGATTGCGCGGAGACCGGGTGACGAACTCCTTGTGGTCCGGGTTCAGTCCCGGGGGTAGGCAGGAAAGCCACATTTCTCCCAGATTTACGGTAATTACAATTGAATCAAGGCCGAAAGGTTGCGATATCCATAATACCGAGCCTAAGGGTTAACAACTCATGGCTTCTGGATACTAAAACAAACAAACAAACAATACTTTTACCAATAGCCACGTCATCAAAAAAGGGAAAGCATCTTATGACATCGCAAGTATAATAGTAACTGGAAGAAAACATACCCAAGGTTCAGACGGATCAGAGGCAGCATATTGCAAACTGTGTCTAGGCACTGTTAGCCAAGAATTAGTAGCATATAAAATCAGGGAAAATACGAAAATGACAGGATGAAAACTCCGTCAAAAAGCCAGTCACAGCTTATTACAACAATAACTCCTAGGCAAAGTAATGATAAAGTTAAAGGCAGCAGAGTTGTAACTTACTGTATTCATGACATGCCATTGTGCAAAACGCACAGTTCATCATCTAAGTGAAATCATCAGAGCGTATGGTCAGAAGAGTACATTCGAGAACATACAGTCACATAGAACTTAATGTTCATGCCTTATAACAAATATTATATCGCCCGCACTAAAGGATGACGTTATTGATGATTTTCGGAACAAGAAATATGCCATCATTAGAGATGAGTCGCAAAGACTTCATCCCATCTAATAAAATGCTTACAGATTTTACATCTCAAAAGGTTTACTCTGTATCTTCCACTGGTTCCAGTGAGGATGACAATGAAGAATTTAATCTAAAGCTTTCGATGTGAAGTGGGTACAATGTTATACTTTATTTGGCATTTTTGGGTAATGGTTTGGCATAAAATGAAGTTTTTTTTATCTGGTAACCCTGATCTCATAGTACATTTATGTTCAATATGTCAAAAGCCTTTTCGTGATCTTTACAAGCGATGTTCATTTGGTTTCTGTGTCACAAAACCTCTTTTAACGCAGTAAAATCGTAACATACGAAAGATATTTTGACGTTACAATCCGACATATTGTATGTACGAATGACTTCCTGTCAAACGTCAAACGAACTATGTTGCGGGAACTTTAAAGTATATATAAGTTGTACCGTTATATTTATATTACTGTATCTGTATATTCACTTATTTGAAAATCGTTACATGTTTCTCTAACATTGTCATTACATTTACATATGCATTTAAAGGAGAAATGTGAGCATGTCTTGATAAATTGTTTGTACAGTTCAGACTTGGATCCGATGTGAAAAGGAAAGATTAGAAAGGCTGAAAGCTATATTAATATTATATACATTTTTACTTTGCTAGATACTTTAGTCAAATTTTTTAAATGCCCTCTTTACCAATAAAACCAGCACAGTTAGATAGCTGTAAACAATCTCTTTCCAACGTTACCTCATTTAGGCTTGTGTGTTATTTCTGAGCTGAGATATGTAGGTTTTTGTGGAGATGAGATGTAGAAAGGCGAAAGCAGCTGCTAAAACTTGTGACCCAGAAACAAGAAGTTTTCTCTGCGCACCAAACTGCGCACTTATCGTTTTGGCTTTGTTTACATTGGACAAGATGGCAGACAATGAGACACAGCCACTGGCTGAGCCAGCGATTGCCTGAAAAATGTCACTGTTCATCTACCTAGCCACTGTTCAGAAAGAAATTTTATACACAATGGAAAATTGGACAGAGAATTCAATTATAACTAGCATTACCAGGACGAGTAACAGTTAAAGCCTAACACCAACCTTGAATACTTACCGAATTTTCAATCAAACTGGTCGGTGGTGAGGGCACACTCGCAGAAGCTGGTCCGCAAGTAACGTATCGCCGAGACCCTGTTAGAGCATTTGTTTCGTTATACGGAGCCGGCACATATATTTTTAATAGAACTGAGCCCCATTCGGATATTTTTGAATATTTTATGGCCAGAAATTGGCCAATTTAGCTCTCTTTCGAGCGGCATCATATTATGGCTGCCATTTTATGGGGAAGTTCAAAGTAGAGCCATTTTATCAATATATTATGATGTCATCCTAGTAGTCCTAGTCCTTCACCTTGCATCTTAGTAGTTTTTTTTTTTTACACAGTACCATTACCATAATCTATTTTGATCATTTGTTTTGTGTATGTTGCAGAATTTTCTACATGAAACTGATAGATAAGAGGCAAAACATAACTGCGATTTACAAAACAAACTTGGGCTATCCTCCGAATAACGGTCCCAAATTATCGAGGCCGAAAATATACTCTAACAGGGCCTCAGTCACAAGTAAATTGCTGACTTTGGGCAACTTAAATTGCCCACTTCTGGCGACTACTGCCACCACCAAGTGTATCTCCCACGCCGCTACGCCAGAAGTCAGCAATTTACATGTGACTGAGGCCCTGTTAGGGTATATTTTCGTCCTCGATAATTTGGAGGATAACCCGCTCTTGTTTTCACAGTTATAGATTAACTTAGAAGCTTTGATAGCTGATTTCAGCACTTCACCTATTATTATTAGGTTCTTTAGTTTAAGTAACTGAAATATTACTTGTTGACTTATATTCTGTGAACTGTGTGCAGCTCTTTATTAATAAAACACAAAATAATTAAGTATCTGATGAATTGGCATCCCTTGCAACTGCGACCCTAGGTGGGTGCAATCAATCTTATTTTAAGTTAACATTACTAATACTGTATAAGTGTCAACCCCAGGGATCGTAATCCATTGTTTGTGTAAAGTAAGTTCACTTTATAATAATTTTATTTCATATTTAATGTTGTTTGAGATAAGGGTTCAAGTTAGAGCTAACCCAAACCCTTACCATAATCTCAAACAATATTAAATATGACATAATATTATTGTTAAACAAACTAAAGATCCATTGGCTGTGAAAACGTATCCCTACCAGACCTGAGGCCCGGAACCTAACTGCCCCTTATAAATGAGCTCCTGGGCTTCAACATGAAAAACCAACATGATATACTAAATATTAGTTACATGCAAACAAGTGGTTACAATAAGTTGAAACTTGGAGACATTGTGTAGAAAATAGGTTTACCTTTCATCTAGCGCCAGTATTCCACTTTTATGTGCGATTCCACCCAGAAAGATCGGTCTTGTTTCCTAAAGTGAGCACCAGATGTTGCTGTTTGAGGGACATGCCCCCTTCTCTTACTATCGATCTTGTTTTAAATCTATACGTTTCAAGATTCTCCTCATCACTCGAGCTCTCACTGACTGTGTCACTTCAGCTGGGAACATATTCTTCACGAAATTCTGACTCCTCAGAGTCTAAATCAACCAAAGTATTGATCACCTGTTGGACTGGAAAGCCTAGACCTACTTTCCTGTCGAAGTGCCTGGTTTATCAGCCGCTCATTTTATTGTGAATTTTCAAAACTTTTCACGTCAAACCACATAAAAAAAATCCTGACACTTGTGGGCAGCAATTCGCAATGAGTAACACGAGGTCTAACCACGATTGGCTAATTATTTGTAGTTTGCGACGCATTGTTTTCAGGTAGTCCACAAAGTGCCGAGATTGAGGCACACCGGTTTAGAGGCAGATTAGGAATTTCTCGTAATAGCGGGACATCAGTCTGGTAGAGTTAAAGAGCTTGACAATTAGCTAGAAATAAAGATTTTCAAGTGTGGCATGGTGAGAGCAAGGTTCTGTAAAGAACCTGCCTGCAAGTGGTTATTTTATGTAATCTTTTCTAGAAAATGGACAGTGGTCAAAGATTGAGATTGACTTCATTGCACTGGATTTTATCCCATATGGCTTGGTCTCTCTTAGCAGACGGCTAGCCACCTGCCAAGAGCTTCGCACAAATCCTGAACTCCGTAGCTCCGGACGGATTTCCATTAAAATTGCATTAATGAAATGAACGACGCAGCCATGAAACAAACCCACGACCTTCAGGGCGCGAGGCAAAGGGCTTGACCACTTTGCCACGGAGACCCGCTAGACAGTAGTCAGTTTGTAGCTTTCTAGTATGTTCTTGGTTGTCTTTTATTTTTTGATGTATCCAGGGCTTTTTCTCTAGGAAAAAGGTGCCGATACCCAGAGTGTCTGAGAATGTGATGATTCTCATCATAAAGTGCCTACACTGGAAAAATGAGGCATTTAAATGTTAAAAAGTGCTGGTACTGTGCACTGTTGCACACCGCCAGAAAAGAAAAATAAGTAATAGCTATGCTGTATCTGTTGTAATCTTATTTTTACTTGAGATTATTTTATTATATTTAATTGTGTTTTTTAGAAAATGGACAGCAGTCAGATCGTAGCTCTACAGAATGCCCTGCCTGTGTCATCAGAATGTAAAGTTTCAGATATGAAAGATTTCATTGTCTACCATGTGGAAGTGCTTCAGTGTCCATGCAGGTATTCACCTTTTTTCTTTTTATATTTCTTAGGTGTAATCATGTTTGTGTGTGAGTTCCAGGGCTTTTTTGGTTGACGGGGAGGGGGGGGGGGTAGATCTACTGTTACTCTAACAAGCATCAACAGCAAAGATCATGTAAATTTGTGTGTGGATGTATGAAGGGTCAACGAGTAGTGATTTTTAACAAAATCCTTACTTTACTAAATATTCTTTTTTTCTGCATTCACCTGGAAAAGTATGGTTGGTATGCTGTGTTGTGTTTACAGCTAGGCTGTGATATTTGCACCATTCGGCCTTAAACTAAATAATGCAGTGATAAGTTTATCATTAAAATAAATAATGCATTTATATTTTATTCATAAATTAACTAATGTATGTACAAGGATTTGTACTATCACTTGATTTGTTTTCATTATAAAGTGAATAAATATATAATGCGATCTATCATTGATATGCCAAAAATTGTGGTTGGTGGTCATAACATAAACAACCTGCCTTATATGCTGATGATACTGTCTTGATGGGGACACGTTAGAACTACAGGAATTATTATATACAATGGTGGTAAAAAGTGATAAAATGGGCCTCAGTCTGAATAATGGGAAGACAGACGTAAGGATGATTTTCAAGAAAAGAATAGTGCCTAAATGTGTAATAAGACTCAAAGGCAATATTTTAGAATAAGTACAGAAATTTAAGTATCTAGGTACACAGATAACTTCCGATGTATCACAGAGATAGAGAAACAAATAGGACAGGCCACAACTGCCTTTAATAAAATGAACATTTTATACAATAAATCCATGTCATTGGAGGTAAGGAAACTAGTTCTCGCATGCTATATATAGATCCTGTTTTAACATACGGCTGTGAATCCTGGACAATTAATAAACAAGCCGAACAATATCTTGAGGCCTCCTAGATGTGGGTTTTACAGAAGAATTCTTAGAATTACTTCGACAGCTATGAGGGGTAACTCAGATGTTTTGAAAGAGGCAGGTGCTCAAAGACAACTTATCACAAACATCAGAAAGAGACAGTCATCTTTTATTTTTGTCATGAGAGAAAATAGAACATATTGTAACCACTGGAAAGATTTGCGGAGAGACAGAGGAAGATAGGGTGAGAAGTTTCTTGACAGCCTTTTGTCATGGCATGGAAGGTGTCAACACATGAACTGTGTTACACACAGTTAACTGGGGACTGCAAAGAAGAAGGAGACGCTAAATCATGAAAGCAAACTTTTGTGTTTATATACTAAATAATACATGTACATATGTTTATCTGTATACAGATATTTAAATATCATTGTTTCCCATAGCACTGCACGAACAGCCAGCATAAAAGAGAAAGTCCTGGAATTGTTGCATGCAAAGAAGACAGCTTTTGGGGACTTTGTGATAAGAGATTTCCAGGACACGTTTCTGTCTCATAATGTGGAGTATGTGGCCCTGTGTGATAGTGAGATTCCAGGGGTGGAAAAGAAGGTATGTTTTTGCTAACTTTAACCTCAGAAGATTCATTTAACTCAGATTTAGGAAAAAGACGAAAGAAATGGATGAACAACCAGAACTTTTTACTGGAGTTTACAGCTGGTGAACGCAAAGAAGAAGAAAATAATTAAGTCAACAGAAAATCATTGCTTGCTTTGTAGTTCCCAGGCCATAGGAGGACATTTTTGTCCATGGGGAGGTATTTCACTAAACCTGCTTGGATATATCATAAGGGTGACTCTGCTGCAAGTGTCATTGCCATTGAGCCGAGTTATTCCTCCATCATGGTGAGACATCTAATTATGACTGTAGGCTGTATTGTTTGGCAAGAGTTACTGTAAATTACCGCATGTAAGTCCAGTTTTCAAGAGTAAAAGCATCTTTTCACAACTTTGGGCCAACTTATTTGGTGAGTGTAAAATGTGTTAGGTACGAGGGTTATTCCAAAATCAACCTCTGATTGGTGGGTACAAGAAATACTGTAATAATTATTAACATTATCACTGTGTATATGACACAATCAATGATAAATCTCTGCGGCATTTTGAACTTCTGCTTGAAGAAAAAAAAATCACACTACAAATTTAACAGCTGGAGGGAAAGGCAGTATCGGTGTTTGTTCGCAGTTCGTGAACCACTGAACAATTGCGACTGTAAGTTAATGTGTAGTTAGCTAAAAGACTACTAAATTATGCAAACCATCGGAGGTTGATTTTGGAATAGCGCTCGTAGAAGGTATGTATAGGACTAGCTGATGACACAGTTTAACCAAATTATGACACATTTCTAATTAGTAATTGTTGTCTTTATCGTTTAACTTTGTATCCTTCTCCCTTCTGCCTTTATTATTGAGCTTTTTTGTCTTTCTGGTATTTTCTCAGTGACACACATTTAACTAACTGCAGAAGTCACGTATTGTCTGCGTGCTACTTTAGTTACGGTTCCACTATGTTGCATATAATTTCCGTATATGCTGTCATATGGTTTGTGGTGTGTCTGATAAAGCTTGTTTTAACTTGAATGTTAGACGTGTGAGGTTAATTTAATATATTTACTCTATGTTTCGTTGCCGCTGTCAGAGATTTGTGAAACATTAAATATTTTTCATTTATTTTATAAGTGAGATTTGTGTTGCCGTGATTTCACGCTGTCTGAGTTCATTGTGAGGTTTACATTTATGTCTTCACAGGATCTTACTGTACTTTAAAAAAAATGTAATTTATATTGCTACATTCTACTGTAATACTGTACTGTACTACTGTGATAATCTGTCTTGTTTGTTTAAACATTAATCTTACCACTTTTTACATGCTCCTTCTACGTGTCCATCAAATCTTAACTGATGGAAAGTCTTGTTTGTTGTTCCATTTTTGGACTTTGATCTTGAGTTTCACTTACACATCCATTTTACAGATCAGTGTGCAGACTGTTTTTTGCCTCTCAGGCACATACACTCTGATTTTGAAAGAAATGTTAATCCTGATTGTGTTGGTCAATCCCCTGGCTGGGAACCAGTTCCTAAGATGACCCTGGAGACAGGTAGATAGGTCTTGACCAGTACAAGCCATGGTCCTGGCGCGGCCACCACCACGTATGGCTCAGCACCTCTACGCCCCTTAATTCGGAGCTGTTCAACTATGTTTTCTCAGGTGCCAAAATGTTCAATATGGGTGTCATGGCCTAGAAGCCTTGAGCTCCAGCATAGAAAGCTCATTAATACAATACGATTAGCAAAGATCCACGGTCCACTTGCTAGATCTCTGCAGGCGGGATTTGGACTACAGGCCACAAGAAGCCTGGTGCTTCAGCATAGTAAACTCATTAATACAATACGATTAGCAAAGATCCACAGTCCACTTGCTAGATCTCTGCAGGCAGGATTTGGACTACAGGCCACAAGAAGCCTGGTGCTTCAGCATAGTAAACTCATTAATACAATACGATTAGCAATGATCCACAGTCCACTTGCTAGATCTCTGCAGGCGGGATTTGGACTGCAGGCCGTCAGTTGAATAACCCTGTCTGACATGTTCCAGTGTTTGTCTTATCTTGATGTGGCTCACTAATTCCTAGAATCTGATATATTTCTAAAAAATACTGTAGCTCTGGCATTACAACTGAATGTTTGTCTGTAGGTGATTGACCTAACCTCCTGCAGCCTTCAGATTCATGTTTTTCAAGTGCACACAGATGGAGCAGGCACAGAGGAACTTGATGATGATAACATCTCTGCCGCCAGCCATTGGCTGCTGCCATCCGCAGATTTTAATGGGCTGTGGGATACGCTGGTCTATGATGATGCTGTCAAACTCAGGGTCGGTGTGTTTTTCCTTAACTCTTAAAATGTATTGAAAACTCACTTTTTTAAACAAACTTAAGTTATTCTCCGGCCATTATTAGTAATGAAGCCGCCATGATGTCACAGCTAGACACTCGCCTGCTGACTGGAAGGTCATGTGTTCTGACGGAGCTGGACTTTTTTCAAACATGACCTTAGCTCCTAGGTCGACCTGGCCTTAAATGGGTACCATTATCAGCATGGGGAGTAAGGGCAGCCGGGGTGATGCTAACCACACCACCCGCCAGGCGCCAGTTGGTCTAAAAATATATGTCTATATGCCCTATATGTCTATATGCCCTATATGTCTACATGCCCAATACATCTGAAGGCATGGAAAATGGTCCTTTAATTTTTACATTATTAGTAATAAAGATCTAGAATGGGATGCAGAGGTGCATCACTGCCTGCGGAGGTGTATCATTGCCTGCGGAGGTGTATCATTGCCTGCGGAGGTGTATCATTGCCTGCGGAGGTGTATCACTGCCTGCAGTTCAGGGCCAGGGCTCAGTTTCATCAAGATGTGGGCAAGCTGGATATAAATGATACCGGTATCAAACTGAATGTGTTAGTACAGAATGCCATGTACCGTACTGCAAGGAGGAGGTAATTAGGGATGAAGGAGAAAATAACTGCTGACAGGTTAAGAATTGAAAGTCTAGGAAGAAGTATGGTAGTAAACACATGAGGTGGCAACATTGGTTCTAAGATTCCTCTGCTCTAACTGTGGCTTAGTCGCTTTTCTTAAGACAAGCAGGTCTTGCTAGTCATGCTCACCTTTGCCATAAGTTGTGAACCCCATGTCTCCTTTTAGCACAATTAACATTGTTGTCTGGAAAGACGAAAAGATGCCAACAATAATAACGATGTATGTATGTTTATGTAAATACAGAACTGACAGGTTCGATTCCTGGCACAGTAACTATAGCATCAATTTTTATGTTGTCTAGTTTGTCCTTCTATCTTTCTACTTCTTTCTGAGAGTGCTGATCAATACATTGTCACTTTGTTATATATATAAACCAAGAGGTTTTGAAAGAGGCGGGGGCCCGAAGACAACTTTTCACAGACATCAGAAGGAGACAGTCATCATTTTTCGGCCATGTTATGAGAAGAGGGAAAATAGAACATGTTGTGACCACTGGAAAGATCTGTGGAAGAAGGGATAGAGGAAGACACCGAGAGAAGATGCTTGACAGTCTTGTTGCATGGCATGGAGGTGTGTCGGCACACGTACTGATACATGCTGCAGGAGATCGCAGATTATGGAGATGCATGATCGCTCACGCCAGTCGGCAAGGCACCTGATGATGATATATTTTTATATATGATATTATATAAATACAGCTGTGAATCAGAAGTAAAAAGATAATAGAAATGGTCAAAATATACTTTCTAGAGCGATAAATAACGCCGTGTTTGTATTACCATGTGCAGCTGCTGAACTATGCAACAACAACACTGATGTTCTCAGAAAAGCATGTTGACAGTAATGTGATTACATGGAACAGGATAGTCCTTTTGCATGGTAAGATGTCTGTGTGTATGTTTTTTATCACAGTGTCAAATACATTTTTACAGAAGAGTATACCTTTTGGGAGCAAGTGAACATTGCTGGAGCACAAATAAATCATCATGGTCTGAGGAGAATGTCAGCTCTGTGGCTAAGTCGATGCGAACGCTTCGCTTTGTAATGCCGGGATGCCACATTCGATCCCAGCTGCGGGCAATGCGCTTTGTGTTGGTTTCGACAGTGGTATCAAGAAAGCCGACTGTCCAGAAAGCAATGGCAAACTACTGGATTTGGATGCAGCTTGCCTAGAGAAACCACACAACAGCCAGGGGCTGTTAGGGTTGGTTCTGCAACGTCCTGTAAAGGATACACAACTAACTTAACTGAGGAGAATAGTACGGACAGAAGTAATCAGGGGGAAGTAACCAGGGGATCTGACTGATACTCAGCACTCACAGGAATGGCAAGACAGACGTATTGTAAAGTCAGACTTCTAAGGGTACCAACAGAATTGAACTCTCTGCTGGCTGGTGCAGATGGGAGAAGAATGCTTATGGACATGTCTCAAATGCTTTATCAAACTCAGCTCAACTTTGTACAAGAATATTTTCTTGTTGTTTTTTTTTTTCCGATGGCTTTTATCTCTGAATGGAATCTTCCTTGGGTGGGAGTTTGCTCACCATGAAATGCCTGTGGAGAAAACATTAACTGTATGTTCTGTGCTGAATCATGATCTCAGTTTAGCCTAATATGCCCCGTCACAGTTGTGAAGGTCTTATGCCAGTCTTGCATGCATGCTGACATCTGGCTGGGAGAGGGAAAGGAGCGCTCTGCTAGATGGTCCCTGTGGAGATATATTTCTGTACTGACCTGAGGGAGGGGGGAATTCTACACTAATCTGACTGATAAAATGCACACCACTTTGAGCACTTAGTCAGCCTGAACACCCAGTGAATGTGACTAGACAGTTAAAACAATATTCAAAGAATTCACAACCAGTCAGGACATGCCATTATGAAGGAAAATGAAAGAGTTAATGGACTGGCTCTGTCCACAGTGGTTAGATGAGGAAGAATATGTACAGGGCAGACATAATGAATGCACAGCGTTCCACATTGAGACATAGGAGTCAGAGACAATTAACAGCCTGTTGGAAATGCATATTAAATGAGGATATGCATGCATAAACTGGTTGTGGTCAAAAGAAAGAAGAAATGCCAGTCAACTCCCACTGGGTACGGTGAGCATGGAGACGCTGGGATGGCTGCTGCATCAGAGGACAGAGCACAAATGGCTTGGATTGATGTTGATACAGGCAAGTAACAACCAGCCACCTTTTACTAGGACATGCACCATAACCTTTGTCTGCTAGACCCTTATAGTTGAAGCTGGTTCTTGAATGGTTTAACTGTCAATCAATTAGGTTTTTAAGTCCTAGTTAAATATCCTAATACCAGCCCTCCTGTTGTGACATGCTTGGTTAATAACTTATTTTTGCTTTTTTTTAATGGACCCTGATACCCACTTCCTCCACAATCAGTAAGGAGGATCCGTAACTAGCTAACCAAATCTACATTATAATTCTGCTGAGATTTTCTAGATATCTTCTGCACTGTGTAGGCAAGTCAGTTCCTAGGAGCCAGGGAGATATGCTATTGATTTTGGAAACAGCATCTGCTATTGAAACATGATAATGTTTATTTTATTTTGTTGATGGGATTAACATTTTGGTAATATGTATGTTTAACTAGGTCTTCCACATTTGTTTTTTGTTAATGGGATTAACATTTTGATAATATGTATGTTTAACTAGGTCCTCCAGGCACTGGGAAGACCTCTCTGTGTAAAGCTTTGGCCCAGAAACTCTCCATTAGATTCTCTGAGCGGTACACACACGGCCAGCTGGTAGAGATCAACAGCCATAGCCTGTTTTCCAAGTGGTTTTCTGAGGTCAGTTTTTAGATTTAAAAAAGAAAAAGCAAAAAGGAGTAATTCTGAAGCAGAAGGTTTATAAATTTATAGGTTTTGACATTCATTAGGTCACCGAATGATAAGCTTTGGTGACTGTCATTTCACTTTTTAGTATAGATTTATTTTGTTGGGTAGAGCACCCGTGTGGGTTCAAGGGCCTTATTTTGGGTAGTATGGAATAGATTCACTGCCCCCATAACAAGCATGTCGTAAAGGGTAACTGAGGGGTGCTTCCTTCAAATTTGGAGTTCATCTGCCGGAGAGGCATACAAATAAGCTGGATCTGTAAAACGGATGTGCACGCAAAGCTAACGTTCTAGAACTAAAATTCCAGAAGTTGATGAACAACCAGAGCTTTCTGCTGGAGTTTACAGTTGGTGAACAACCAGAGCTTTCTGCTGGAGTTTATAGCTGGTGAACAACCAGAGCTTTCTGCTGGAGTTTACAGCTGGTGAACAACTAGAGCTTTCTGCTGGAGTTTACAGTTGGTGAACAACCAGAGCTTTCTGCTGGAGTTTATAGCTGGTGAACAACCAGAGCTTTCTGCTGGAGTTTATAGCTGGTGAACAACCAGAGCTTTCTGCTGGAGTTTACCAGAGCTTTCTGCTGGAGTTTACAGTTGGTGAACAACCAGAGCTTTCTGCTGGAGTTTATAGCTGGTGAACAACCAGAGCTTTCTGCTGGAGTTTACAGCTGGTGAACAACCAGAGCTTTCTGCTGGAGTTTACAGTTGGTGAACAACCAGAGCTTTCTGCTGGAGTTTATAGCTGGTGAACAACCAGAGCTTTCTGCTGGAGTTTATAGCTGGTGAACAACCAGAGCTTTTTGGAGTTTATAGCTGGTGAACAACCAGAGCTTTCTGCTGGAGTTTATAGCTGGTGAACAACCAGAGCTTTCTGCTGGAGTTTATAGCTGGTGAACAACCAGAGCTTTCTGCTGGAGTTTATAGCTGGTGAACAACCAGAGCTTTCTGCTGGAGTTTATAGCTGGTGAACAACCAGAGCTTTCTGCTGGAGTTTATAGCTGGTGAACAACCAGAGCTTTCTGCTGGAGTTTACAGTTGGTGAACAAGATAGGAAGATAACATCAGAGAAGCTCTACAGTACCATGTTGTGTCTGTGGTCGAAGCAGCCAGAAGAGCACAAAGCAGGAACTCTTATCTCCCTTGACACCCAAAGCGGTAAAAGAGGACGTAAAGAAGAAGAACGTGAAGTGAAAGAGTTTTGGTAGAATAGATATGATTAAGTGCCTATAAGAAATAAGATTATTTAAGTATAGGAGACGTAAAGATTTGTCAACTATGGTAGGTATTAACTTTCATAAACAGCTAAACTGCATCCTGTGTAGCGGCTACACACTCACCTGTGAATTTGAAGTTCTTGGGTTCAAATCCACAAAAAAAAAGGAAATTTTTGTCTAGCTCCCAGGTCGACCCAGTCTTAAATGGGTACCAGGTAAAGTCCTGGGAAGTAAAAGTGGTCAGCATGATGTTGACCGCATCACCCACGGAGTGCCAATTAGTATATAAAATCAAGCTCTAGCCCAGTATGCATGAAAGTTGAAAGCGGTCCTTAACTTTTAACACCGAAACTGAACATTGAAGACTGTCGTGTAGAAGAAATATGAAATAGTTAACATCTGTGCATATCTATCTACCCAATGTAGAATACAATTAAAGCATGTTGATGTGTCCAGACACTGTGCTATAACTGTTAATCATCTTGATTTGTCTCTCAAGAGTGGCAAGCTGGTCATGAAGATGTTTCAGAAGATACAGGAGCTCATTGAAGATCCAGAAACTTTAGTCTGTGTTCTTATTGATGAGGTTAGCATTGATTATTATTATTAAAGTAAAATTGTTTTTTTTTTCCTTTAAAAAAAAACCTGGTGTATATTTTTTAACATACATTTGTGATTTGTACGACTAGGCACTTAGCCATGCTTAGAAGCGTCCCATTTAATTATCATTATTATACCTTCCCACATTTGTTGGTGGGCTCTAAAAGGAAAGTATAGAACAGCAACATTGTAGCCTATCATACATGACATAAGAGGCAACTAAGGAGGGTGGATGTAAGGCAGACTACTTTGCCCAAAGAAAACTTTTGTTGCAAGATCTAACCAATCAGTGTCATTCCCATACATAATTTGGTGATCATTGTTTGAAGACCTGTGCCTCACCGAGACCTAGTTTTAAAAAAAATATGTTTGGGGATTTTTAAAATCACACACGGAAAGGTGGCCATAATAGTTGTAGTGTTTGAGGTTTGAACAACAGATCAACGTCATGGCACATGAATAGGAACCCATAAGTGCTCCGTTCTTCTTATAACTCAAGTCTGTAACCCCGGCGAGGATCCTGAAATACTTTGGGTAGATTTTTAACTTCAAATTTTTGCCCAGGCAGCACCGTTAGCTGCTCTTTTCTATTTCCAACTGCCACAGGATTTTTACATGCGCAACAATACACACAGACCTCCGATCTCATTTCCCAGAGACCCGGGGAAATTGCTAGAAGTAGAATTCCACATGAAAAAATCCCGCTCCTTTCCGGGGATTGAACCCGGAACCTCTAGCACTCGAGGCGAACCCCCTGCCTTGAGACCACGCAGCACCGTTGTAGTGTGCAGGGTTACGCCTTCATATTTTAATGGGTTCTAGCCCAATGGGCTGTCTGTTTCTCTTTTCTAAGAGCCTTAATGCCCAGTAGAGTTTTGTATTTCTTCATTTTGAAGGTCAAAGCTATTCATTTGAGTTTACTCAGGGGCCAAACTGTTGCAAATGGGAATTGCTAGAGGCAGAGACGCGAACTCCAGCATAGTAGGATAATACAGTACAGTTGCAATGATCCAAGGACCAGATTTTAAACCTCTGCATGATATTGAGCAAATCACCTGTCGAGCATTGATTGGTCTAAGAATGTGAGTCATGGGAAGGCTAACCCAGGCAATAGATGCCTGAAGAAGTTGGATGTGTCGGCTGAACGGCAGCAGTATCACAACAATGCTGGAATCTGACATATTGCACCTGTGTCCTTAGATGAACACAGAAGAAGAACAAGAGGATAATGTGAGTATAGAATCATAGGCCCAAATACTACTGGCAAGTAGTGGTGGTTTTTTTTCTCCACAACAAAGATGGTTAGATCTGTGATCCACTGCACCAAGATTAAAGTAGGGGTATACCCCCATTTTTATGTTATCCTAAAAATCACCCAAACACAGTAGAGTTGGGTGGAAGCAGACCAAGAGGACACTAGAGAGATAATTTACAGGGAGGCCTCCAACCACTTGAAATCACCAAATGGAAAGGGAAAGCCTCTGGGATTTGGAGGTGAGTTTTATCTGCAGCAATGAACTTCAGGGGCTCAGAATTCCATGTGTGTTCTGGGGCCTCATTGTTGGGGGGAGGAGGAAAACTGACCCCTAACAAGTATGTCATAAGTCTTGACTAATTAGGGATGTTTCCTTCAAAGTACATCTGTCTGAGAGGCAAAGAACCAGCAGTCTGCATACAAATAAGCAATATCTGTAAAAGAGATGTGTACATAAAACTCAGGTTCTGGAATAAGACTGAAGCCCAGAAGTAAATGAACGACTGAAGCCCAGAAGTAAATGAACGACTGAAGCCCAGAAGTAAATGAACGACTGAAGCCCAGAAGTAAATGAACGACTGAAGCTCAGAAGTAAATGATCGACTGAGAGGCAAAGAACCAGCAGTCTGCATACAAATAAGCAATATCTGTAAAAGAGATGTGTACATAAAACTCAGGTTCTGGAATAAGACTGAAGCCCAGAAGTAAATGAACGACTGAAGCCCAGAAGTAAATGAACGACTGAAGCCCAGAAGTAAATGAACGACTGAAGCCCAGAAGTAAATGAACGACTGAAGCTCAGAAGTAAATGATCGACTGAAGCCCAGAAGTAAATGAACGACTGAAGCCCAGAAGTAAATGAACGACTGAAGCCCAGAAGTAAATGAACGACTGAAGCCCAGAAGTAAATGAACGACTGAAGCCCAGAAGTAAATGAACGACTGAAGCCCAGAAGTAAATGAACGACTGAAGCCCAGAAGTAAATGAACGACTGAAGCCCAGAAGTAAATGAACGACTGAAGCCCAGAAGTAAATGAACGACTGAAGCCCAGAAGTAAATGAACGACTGAAGCCCAGAAGTAAATGAACGACTGAAGCCCAGAAGTAAATGAACGACTGAAGCCCAGAAGTAAATGAACGACTGAAGCCCAGAAGTAAATGAACGATCATAACTTTCTGTCAGAGTTTACAGGTGGTGAACATGAAGAAGAAGATGAAGAAGAACCTCGAGGTTCAGAATGCTGAAGAAGAAAAAGAATAACCCAGACAGTCAACACGTTGAGAGAAACCAGGTCTGCCTTGATGCTGTAACCTCTGATCTCCACCCTTTAATAAAAGTTGTAATAAATCTGTTCTTCAGGTGGAGAGTCTAACAGCTGCCAGGAAAAGTTCCATGAATGGCATTGAGCCATCAGACGCTATCCGGGTGGTCAACGCGCTGCTGACCCAACTGGATCAGATCAAGAGGTCTGTGGAGTTTTGTACCAGTTGTTACTAGAGAAGAATTGAATCATTTTGTTCTATTTTTAATTTAACTGTATACTGTCACAGTCACTACTGTCTGTATTTACTACTTTTTTTTATTAGGGTTATGTAGGGAAAAACCCCATCACCTTACTGGGGGTTGAACCCAGGTTTCCGCCTGAGAGCCAGACACTGTATCCGCTCGGCCAGCCGCTCCTCTTTTTTAATTTATCAATTACTTAATATCTTGGAAGTTATAGAGTACATTTTGAATTTAAAAAATCATGGAAGAACTGTAAATATAAATGTAAATATATGTAGACTAAAAGAATATAACATTTACAAACAAATTTTTTTAAAATTTAGTACTTTTTACTCTTATTTGTTCTGTGACTTTACATTGTGATCCTGACATACCACTCAGCTACAGGGGATTGGTAACACAAGTATTGAACATTCAGTCAGCAATGGAAAACCAGTGAATATAAAAAAGCCTGGAGAAACTGCAGACTGCCAGCCAATGTAGGGGTTAATTTGCGACATCACGAGAAAGATAGGCAACTTACTGTGGGGGGTTAATAAAATGTAGCAGATGTTAAGTTAAAAGAATACATATATACGCCTATGCATAACGCTGTTATGCCTAGAACAAATATAAATTTGTGATGAAAATAATTTAAATATAAGTTTAAACTGGATTATACACAAGGCAAATGTACATTATTAAACACAGCACCTTAGTTGCACCAAAAGTAGCCAATGTCACAGCCAAGCTGTAAACCACAATGTAATATGCCAACTGCCTTTTTAAAGGCGAGCACAGAAAACGAGGCAGACTTTTTAAAAAAATTATTTAAATGACCTTGGCTCTTAGGTCATCCTAGCCTTAAATGAGTACCAGGTAATGACCTGGGAAGTAAAGGTGGCCAGTGTGGTGTTGACCACATCATTCCCTAAATGCTGATTGGTCTGAAAAGTAGTCCTATATGCCCGGTACACTTATTGGCGTGGAAAAGGCTCCTTGACTTTACAGACGGACAGAATGCCGTTTTCCTAAATGTTTCTATTCATTGTTTCAGACACCCAAATGTATTAATTCTAACAACATCAAATATAACCGGAGCGATAGACCTTGCATTTGTTGATCGTGCTGACATCAAGCAGTATATTGGGCCACCATCGACTAGAGCGATCTACACCATCTACATATCTTGTTTAAGGGAACTTATGAAGGTGAGAACTCCTGCATGATGTTTGTTGAAATAAATGTCCATGTGAATTTAGCCCCCGTGTTATAATTAATGCCATTGCTAGTAGTTAATGTCCGTCCACAGACTTTGGTCATTGAATGCCAGTCATGTTTGACAGAGTGTAATAAACAGACAGGGCATTGGCACCTGAGACGGCGAGCTAGTGGCCTAAAGGCAGCAGTGGCGGCTACGGCAGGCGTGCCAGTTCAGGGGAAGTACCCCACCAAATGTGTCCTGTCAGGGAGGAATTGTTACTGGGAACAAAACCAGTTTACATCATATGAATGACAGTAGTTGCCTCCTTAGAAAGCCATGATAGACATGTTCTAGAAGAACAAGATTTGACATCAGAATGCCATTAGACACGATTTTCAACAAAAAACACCAGATTGGACTACAAGACACAATATTTTAATAAGAGAATTACACTGTAAAGAGCCCAGTTATGGTCAAAAGTTCTTAGTTGCTGTTTGGTCACAGCTGAAACTTTTTTTTTTTAAATCAAAAAGTCAGTCAATCAAACAGATAGGGAACCTTTGAGGTTATAGAAACATTGAAAATATGTTGATTGGCACTCATAGAAAGAAGTGGAGAGATATGAAAATAATTTAGACAGCATAAAAATCAAAAGCTATAGCTACCATGCCAGAAATCACTATGCCACCATGGTATAGTGTTTAGTGTTGAAGAACTCTTTCTCACTTCAGTGTTTTTTAACTTACTTTTTTATTTACTCTACACTCCTATGTTATGTAAACAGAAAGATCACGTGATCAGTTTGTAGTTACCATGGTGATTTTGAATTTCTGGCGGATAGATGTACAGCAACTTGACAATGTTGTTTATGCATTTCGGCAAGAAAGGGGTTATTTTGTTCTTCATTATATGTTGAATTAGTAATGCACCTGGCGAGATATTAATTTACAGCTGTAATTGTAAAGTTGGCTCTCTGGTGTTGTTTCAGTGTGGCATCATCAGTCCCACTCATCAGTTGATAGACATCCGGGCACTTGAGGTGACCAGGTTTATGGAAAACAGCGCCACCTTCAGCAGTCTTAAGCTCTACAACATTGCCAAGTGAGTTGAGAACATATCTTTGTTTGCTAGCCATTATTGTTCACATTCTTTCTGTCCTCTTTCTTTTTTTTTTCCACCCTCATTCTTTTTTCTTCTTTTTATTCACAAGTTTATTCTTCTTGACAATTTCTTTCTATTTGCTAGTATTTTTTAAATATTTTTTTTTAAATAATGTTGTTGTCGTTCATTTCTTTTATTCTTTCCTTTATTTTTTTGGTATGTGTTAAAGTAAGACATCAGATTGCTGCTGTAAACTTTCAGTCGTGAAAATAGTGAATCTTCTGAAGTGTGTTTCCTTCAGTTTTTAACAACAAATTCAGAATCTATTTACCCCCCCCCCCCCCCCCCCTCTTTTTTTTCTTCTATTCATATTTCTCAAGTGGTCATGTTCATTTTTATTTATTTATGACACTTTTTTTTTTAGATGTCCAAGTTTAGAAGTTTAGCTGCTTACTAAGGTGACCAAATGTTGATCTAAAGTCTTCTTCTTTCGTCTTTCATCTCCTGATAGAGCAGCGGTTCTCAGCCTGTGGGTCGCGACCCCTTTGGGGGTTGAACGATAATTTTACAAAGGTCGCCTAAGACCATAGGAAAAAACATATTCCCTGAAGTTATGGAGTAGAAACGGAAGTAATTTTATGATTGGAAGTCACCACAACATGAGTAACTGTAAAAAATGGTCACAACATTAGGAAGGCTGAGAACCACCGGGATAGAGAAACAACCTTTTGTTGTTCTTCGAGTTCACTCGCTGTAAACTCTGATGGAAAGTCCTGGTTGTTTGTCCAATTCAGGACCTTTGAACTTGGTTCAGGACTTGAGTCTTGCAGGCACATCCATTTTACACATCTGGCTTATTTGTGTGCAGATTGATTGTTGGTTTCCCCTCTCAGAGGCTCCAAATTTTGAAGGAAACAACAGACCTGTCTAAGCTGGCCAGGTCCCCAGCTGGGAACCTCTTTCTAGCATGATCGCAGAGAGGTGTAGGAGGTCTTGACCAGTGTAACCCTGGTCCTAATGCATTGCCTCCTGTGGTTCAGCACCCCTAAATCCTAGAGAAGCAACAATCTGTTATAGTTCATTTACAGATTGGTAGCAATATTCAAATAGTTATATCTCCGCTGTAGTGGAATATAATTGGATGTAATTATATATTATTATTTATTTCATTATCAAGGTTATGTCAGATTTGTTTTCCCACATAACACCTAATTAGAATAAATTTTTGATTATTCGAGATTTATACAAAAAATACAGTGATCCTTGGCTGATTTTCCTTCTAAGAGTTATAGGTCACAAAGTTCAGATGTAACCAGTCGACCTTTCACAAAAATGCTGGTTTCTTGTGTTTGGCATAAAGTCCACAACTGTTGCGCTTTAAGTGACTTAGCGCGCTTTAAATTAGTATGCTAGATCATTCCAAGTACATAAAAAGTGAAAAAGACATAACTAATCCATTTAGGAAACTCATGTTGGTACTGTAAAATTTGTTCTGCTACCGAACTAAAATTATTCAAGTAGCGAAAATATTTAAAAAAATATCTGCTTGGATAAAACCGGGCTGTCTAAATATTATTTACGTATAAAACATTAACGTCGAGATGAAAATAGGAGCCCACGAAAAAAATCACAATCCCTGGATAAGTAATTACTGAGAAATTATCAAAAATGCAATGGCATAAATGAAAAAATGCACCATCAGTTTATTTATTGTCCACATTTGAGAGGTGTTTTCTATTTAGCACTTTACCGCTCGTTTCCACAATCATCATAGAAAGTATAATAATGTATCACTTAATAAAACTTGTACGGTGCTGTTGAAGTTGCTTGAACTGTTCTCTTGATATCTTTCAGAAACAGTGAAGGCTTGAGTGGCAGGACCTTGAGAAAGCTTCCATTTATAGCCCATGCTTTGTTTTTGCAAGTGGGTATATTAATATTAGCATGATATTTAAACAAAAAATTTTTTTCACTTCTTTTGAATTGAGATTGATAGATTTTATAACCAGTTTAGCATTCTTGAGTTGGCGTCTGTGGCTTAGGTGTTGCAAACGCACTTCGTACTATCAGGGTGCCGGGTTCGATCCCAGCCGCGGACCTTGCGTTGGTTTCGACAGTAGTATTGAGAAGCCGACCGTCCAGAAAGCAATGGCAAACTACTGGATGTAAAATTTGCCTAGAAAAACCACATAGGCCAAAAAATGCTGGGGTTGGTTCTGCAACGTCCTGTAAAGGATACGCAGCTAACTTAGCATTCTGGGAAAACCCACATATGCTTCAGCAGCAGCAAAAAATATCTCACGGTGTTGATTGATGCTGATCTTCCCGTGTGGGTTCTGGGGCCCCGTTGTAGAGAAAACAAGAACATGATTACTGTCTACCCAAAAGCATGTCATAAGAGTCGACTGATTAGGGGTTTCCTTCGGAGTGCATCTGCCTGAGAGGCAGGAATCAGCAGGCTGCATACACATGAGCCAGATCTGTCAAATGGGTGTGCAAGTAACATTCAGTTTATGGAACAGGTCTTGAGTCCAGAAGTGGACAAACAACCAAAACTTTCGACCAGAGTTTACAGCCGGTAAACGTGAAAAAGAAGAAGTTGTTGATCATTCCAGTAATACTTTGACATTGGAATTGTTCATCCAAAGGTGCCCTTCTTGAATTTGTTGTTTTTATCTGTAGTACTATATCAGTTAATAAACATGTTAAAAGAGCTCATCAAAAAGGGAGAAAAAAAACAGACTTGCTGACAGTGGCGGGAACACAAAAATTCAAATTGTCAGTTGGCAGTAGCTGGAAAAGGAACATCCTACCAGGCGTACAAGGTGGCCTATCGCCAAACCCACAGTCTCTGCATACTTATGAATTTATAATGGAAGTATTCCTCGCATTCACTGGGTGTAAACTCTGAAGGAAAGTTCTGGTTGTTTGTCCACTTCTAGGCTGTGGTCTTGTTCCAGGGTGTTGCATGCATATGATTTAATTTCTGTGCAGACTGTCAGTTTCTTGCCTCTCAAGCAGATGCATTTCAACTTTAACACTATCGTCCCATAAATGCCTTTTTTTTAAATAGTGCGATGTCTTTGGGTAGAGCTGACTACATTGCACCATTTATTGTCTGACATATTTCGCTGGATTTCATCAGGTGCATCACTACAGAGTTAAATATTTTTAAAATATAATAACTTTGGCGCCAGCTCTCCCACCTCATACTCAAGGAGTCACTTATATCCTGTGCCCATCTTTGTGTTAGTCGGCCCCTGCCCCTCCCTCCTGGTACCATGCCTTCTGCTATAATTTGTTACCAATCCGTCGTGGCACTTGATATGACCAAAATCTTATTTGAAAATGGGGGGGGGGGGAGATCGATTTTTTAAAATTGGAATGTCGTATAATTTCAAAACTGCATCACATTGCTTGTATGTTCCATGTCTTTTACCTATTCTCCAACTGTCACAGATGTATGTTAAACATGAAATAATGCTGAAAAATTATTTCTTGGTTTTAAAACTATACCATTTAAAGTAAAAAAAAAAGTAAAGGACCCTTTTTCATGCCTTAAGGCGTATAGGGCATATAGGGCTAGACCTATATTTTTATAGACCAATCGGCACAAGATAGGTGATGTGGTCAGTATCACGCCGGCCGCCTTCACTTTCCCAGTACCCACTCAAGGCTGGGTCGACCTGGGAGCCAAGGTCATTTTTGAAAAAAGTCCGGCGACCTTCCAATCCGCGGCGAGCATCTAGCCGCTCGGCCGCGGCGACTCCGCAATACCATTTATAGTTTCATATTTTGTTCATCCAGCATTCAACATTGACGTACATAATTACTCTTTTAAAGTCTGAGGTAAAGAAATGTTCTCAAACTTGTTGTATTTCAGGGCTGCCCTGTGACTTTGGAGTCTTACTTGGAAGCACTGTCAGTAGCAGTAGAGAGACAGTTCCAAGAACAGCGAGATCTGATGAGGGACTGAGGCCGTACCCTCGTTTTTAGCTTCTCATTATTACATATTATCATTGTCTTTGTGTGCCCATTCTGTAACAAGCACGCACAGTCAGACGGCAGCTGATGCCACTGGTATAGGAACTGTTCTGGCTGCTGAAAGTGGGGACATGCCACTTATGGGAATGCCCTGAGTGTTGTGATGTCTGTTCTTATCTCTACAACTTCACCTTATACTGATCACTCTCTCTTTGTGTGTAGTAAAATTAAAGCACTCTTTTCACTGGGACCTGCGGTAGAGCTGTGGCTAGTCCTGCCCGCTGGTCTGAAGGTCTTAGGCTCAGATCTGCATCAAATTATAATTTTTTTTCCCCAAAACTGACCTTGGCTTCCATGTTGACTTGGTCTGTGTGTGTATGTGTATATATATATATATATATATATATATATATATATATATATATATATATATATATATATATATATATATATATATATATATATATATATATATATATATATATATATATATACACACTGTATTTTAAAATGTGCAGTAATTAGTTTCAGTTAGTTGAAAGTCTTTTACAGGACATTAAAAATCAAACCCAACATTTATATTTCTGCTGGTGGTTCAATCTGGCAACTTTACGTTTAGCAGCATACATATCCATCAGTATTGGAACTCTGCGCTGGCTGCTGAAGATGAGGACGGAGCAAGCATGGAAATGCCTCAAGTGCTGTCAATTCTTGACTTAGCTCAACTCAGCTGTTGATTTTTGAATGGTGAACACTTTATACCATTGTTGGAATCAACAAAAGTCCAGAACAGATAAAAACAGAACAGTTGGCACAGAACCAGTTCTAGATTACATACAAAGTCAACAAATCAAATGGTTTGGCCATTTAGAGAGAATGTCTTGTGACAATATACCATACACCAAAAGACGAGAAGGATGTAAAGCACATGGTAGACCAAGAACAATGTGGAAAGATAACATCAAAGAAACTCTAGAACGTGTCTACGGGCAAGGCAGCCAAAAAAGAAAGAAGCAGGATGTTATAAATAAATCGACACCTGAAGCGGTAGAAGAGGGCAAAATGGCCTGCTACCAAAGTGGCTGCAGCTGAATCAAACCAGATTGTTGGGATTAGAAAGGATTAGCAACCACTTTTTAAAAAAATGTGAATTAAAATATTAAAATAATGCGGACACAAACAATACATTGCACCATTTATTGTCTGACATATTTCGCTGGATTTCATCAGGTGCATCACTACAGAGTTAAATCAACATATAAGAAGCACAAACTTTAACTGTTTAGAAATGCACCTGACGAGATATGACACAATATTCCAGGTAATAAATTGTTCAATGTATTGTTTACAAGGGGAAACATTGCTTGGATTAGAATGTTTTATTTTTTGGTCTCACACTGGTTGAAGGTTAAAGCCGAGAGGATTGACTTCATTGCACTCGGTTTACTCCCATATGGCTCAGTCTGTCTACCCAGAATGGCTAGCCACAAGCTGAGAGCATCGCACAAAGTACGGACACCATAGCTCCGGTGATGATCCCCAGAGATTTCTGTAATATTGCACTTGTGAAGTGAATACTACAGCTGTGTAACAGACCCACAACCTTCAAAACATGGGTCAAACAATTCCACCCCTGTGCCTCGGAGACCCACGATGCTGCAGTAGACCTGCATACATGAGATTGTTGTTAACATATATGGTATGTTTAGTTTGTGATTGAATTGTATATAGAGGTTTTTTCAACCATTCATGTTCAGATTCGCGTTGGAAAATAAACATCGCAATGATGTAGCAGATATCAACTTGTTGATGATTGTACTTAATTTATTTTTAAGCCGTTTATAATTGTGCTTTGAAATATTGTTTATTACATCTGGTAAAGCATTGTCACGACTATGAAGCCGTCAAAACAGCAGCAGAGAAACTGTTAAACATGCGTGAAATTACACAACCCGTGGTATTTCTGACGGATGCAAGAGCGGTGCTTCAGTCACTCCAATCTGGAAAACTACTTGGTATATGAAAACTACTCTCCAAACTAGGCAGCCGGTGTAAGGTAACTTAACTATGCAGTAGATACCATCCCACTGTGGAGTCCCTGGAAATGAAAGAGCTGATAAACTAGCTAAGAAAGGTGCAAATGAAGAACAACCGGACGTACCAGTCTCTTATCAACAAAAGAAGAGAATAATCAAATCAATTAGAAAGCCACCAAAACCGGCACAAGAAGATTACCATTTGATGGACAAACCAGAGAAAGTTATTCTACGCCTTAGAACAGAACACAAACGACTTCGCAGCTGCATGTACACACAATTTAATACTGGCAAATCAGCCATATGCACATGTGGACTGGTACCTGAGACAACAGACCATGTCCTCCAAGAATGTCCCAAATACAACATATCAAGGCAAAACTTTTGGCCAAGAGAAACATCGGTGCAAGTCAAACTTTTCGAGTCGCTGAGTGATTTACAAAAGACAGTGAAGTTCATACTAGAGACAACATTGCAGATGTAGATAATCTGTTTTAAGCGAACGGAAGAACAACAACATCTGGTCTATTAAAACATGGACACCCAAAAATATGTGCACTTGCTAAAACTTGTGGGCACAGAAAGAATTCTGCACATCTGAATGTCATAAAATTTCTGAGGACATCTTGTCAGATTTACACATCTGCACCTCCAGTGACATCCTGTAGCCTTTACTTTTCTGAAGACATCTTGTCCGTGGCTAAGGCCTTGCGAGTCCGACTCGTAAGCCAGCATACCGCGATCCAAACCCACTGCAGGCTGCGTGGATTTTTGTCTTGGTATGGGACGTCGCAGGTCGACCCAGACTAAAATGGGTACCGGGATGGGCTATCCTGGGAAAGTAAAGACAGCCGGTGTAATGCTGACCACATTACCCACAAAGTGCTGATGGTTTGTAAAAATATGGGGCGCTCTGCCCATATGCCCGATGTGCCGAAAGGCGTGAAAAGGGATCTTTACTTTACTTTACTTTACTTACCTCCAGAGACATCCTGTAACATTTACTTTTCTGAGTACACCTTGTGAGATTTATACATCTGCACCTCCAGAGACATCCTGTAGCCTTTGAAGGCATCTTGTGAGATTTATACATCTGCACCTCCAGAGACATTCTGTAACCTTTACTTTTCTGAGGATATATTGTGAGATTTACACATCTGCACCTCCAGAGACATCCTGTAACCTTTACTTTTCTGAGGACACCTTGTCAGATTTACACATCTGCACCTCCAGAGACATCCTGTAGCCTTTACTTTGCTGAGGACATCTTGTGAGATTTATACATCTGCACCTCCAGAGACATCCTGTAACCTTTACTTTTCTGAGGATATATTGTGAGATTTACACATCTGCACCTCCAGAGACATCCTGTAACCTTTACTTTTCTGAGGATATATTGTGAGATTTACACATCTGCACCTCCAGAGACATCCTGTAGCCTTTACTTTTCTGAGGATATATTGTGAGATTTATACATCTGCACCTCCAGAGACATCCTGTAGCCTTTACTTTTCTGAGGATTTATTGTGAGATTTATACATCTGTACCTCCAGAGACATCCTGTAGCCTTTACTTTTCTGAGGATTTATTGTGAGATTTATACATCTGCACCTCCAGAGACATCCTGTAGCCTTTAAAGGCATCTTGTGAGATTTATACATCTGCACCTCCAGAGACATTCTGTAACCTTTACTTTTCTGAGGGTATATTGTGAGATTTATACATCTGCACCTCCAGAGACATCCTGTAACCTTTACTTTGCTGAGGACATCTTGTGAGATTTATACATCTGCACCTCCAGAGACATCCTGTAGCCTTTACTTTGCTGAGGACATCTTGTGAGATTTATACATCTGCACCTCCAGAGACATCCTGTAGCCTTTACTTTTCTGAGGACATCTTGTGAGATTTACACATCTGCACCTCCAGAGACATAATGTAGCCTTTACTTTTCTGAGGATATATTGTGAGATTTATACATCTGTACCTCCAGAGACATCCTGTAGCCTTTACTTTGCTGAGGACATCTTGTGAGATTTATACATCTGCACCTCCAGAGACATCCTGTAGCCTTTACTTTTCTGAGGATATATTGTGAGATTTACACATCTGCACCTCCAGAGACATCCTGTAGCCTTTACTTTTCTGAGGATTTATTGTGAGATTTACACATCTGCACCTCCAGAGACATCCTGTTGCCTTTACTTTTCTGAGGATTTATTGTGAGATTTATACATCTGTACCTCCAGAGACATCCTGTAACATTTACTTTTCTGAGGGCATCTTGACAGATTTACACATCTGCACCTCCAGAGACATCCTGTAACATTTACTTTTCTGGAGACATCGTGCAACATTTATACATTACACTTGCAGGGACATTTTGTAATATTTACTGTTCTCAATTTACAACCTTTAGAAAGTATAAAGGAAATTCCTTAGTTGATACTGTCATCGAATGGTGGTTTTAGGCCCTTATATATTCAAGGCCAAAACATACGACGTGGGGTGGACATTTCCTTTTCTCGCCACTTTCCATTTTCAGACATCGGGTAGAAGGTCCTTTGCAGAACATCGCTCTCATCGTGGTCTGCCTGACAAAAACTCTCGTCTCTCGCCAGCTCTCCCATCACACGCATTTTCCTACATATTCATGGCATTGTGGTGCTGGGGTGTTTGTGGATTACCTACCTCCCCGGGCAGCAGCTAGAAATGCCCTGTACCAGTTCTAAAGGAAATATGGGTTGTGTTTCTGCCTTTCCCTTTAACACGTAGCTAAGGTGGGGCTCACAGTGTGCTCATTCCCCGCCACCAGATTGCCTGCAGGTTTCGCTGCATTTTCCTACCAAAGGTATCTCTTATTTATATCATGTGCCAGTCTTCATGCTGGTCAGCCTCTGCCCCTCTGGTCCCGTGCTTTCTACTATTATTTTTATTTCTAATCCGTTGTGGGGCT